AAAAAAGTATCCTATTTGGATAGATCGAGAATATAAATTTACCCTACGCATAAAATCGTGTCAGAGAAAGGGATCGTAAGTGAATTTAGAAAGAGGACTGCACTTCTCTGTCTTGCATACGGGATTGTATGTGAATTTACAATGTTACATACTTAACATCCCTCCTTTTCTCCTCAGAACGAGCTCTTCGTCCCAACAAGATGTATTGGAGGCAAGGCATATATCTGAGTTGGTCTCCAGAAGCTTACACCTTGGTGGAATCTGCAGTTCTGGAAAACAATCCCAACAGCTTTTTAAAAATCACGCTCCCTTCTTGCAGAAAAGGTTAAATTACACCTCCCAACCTTCCGGAGGGTGGAGGACAAATTAAGACGTTGTTGGTTTTGCTCAGCGGAAAACTGCTTAGTGTATTTCTGATTATAGATACAGCAAAGCACAAATTTTTAATCACATTTTTCCCCCTGGCTTTCCAAAGGTTGCATCATTTTGGGACAAGTTGTAGATCACATCGATTCTCTCATGGAGGAATGGTTCCCGGGTCTCTTAGAAGTAGATATTTGTGGCGAAGGAGAAACACTGTTGAAAAAATGGGCTTTATACAGTTTTGAGGATGGAGAAGAACATCAGAAAATATTGCTTGATGATCTACTTAAAAAGGCAGAAGAAGGTATCTGTACTACAGTATTTCGACCGGTCCATTCCAAAATACTTTTGGGAGATACAGTAATAAATAGACAGTAGTGGCCAAAATGGTGGAAACCTTTTGGGAAAGGTGTACAGTAGAAATGCCACCTTTGGTTAATTTTCCACCCATTTTTCTTCTAATTTCTTTATAACTGTAGCCTTGTTCACTGAATAATACTATTTTACATCGCTTTCTGGGTGACCAGTCAACTCTTTGCACTATGACTTTAATTTTATTACGTTTTGCAAGCTCATTAAATGAAAGAACACAAAAAAACCCAACCGACTTTATAGCGATCACATAACACACTGACAAATGTCCTCCTCTCGGCTTCAATACGTGACATCAATCACTGAATCCTACTGTGATCTGATTGGCTCATTGCCAAAACAAGATTTCAGCTGGCAGGACTGGCCTAGGGATATTTTAAATTGGATTTTAATCAACTTTTAAAATAAGAAAAGGCCTATTTAAATATATCTTTTAATTCATTTTAAATTTTGTATATTTGTATCAATTGTTTTGTTTTAACTGGCTGTAAGCCGCCCTGAGTCCACCAGGAGAAGGGCGGGATATAAATACAATAAACTTAAACTTAAACTTAAACTTAAGATGACACCTGACTGGCTCTCTAAACACTCATGCTCATTGGCTACGATCAGATGAAGGAAAGCTACCTGAGATCAACCTAAGCAAGTTGTGCTTCCTTTTTCTGGTTATTTGGCTATAGCTTTTCGTAGAATAGAGTACAAATAATTGAACAAACTTTGTTGCATTACATTCTTGATTAAATTATCTTTCCATTGATATATAATTTTATGGTACTACTCCCCCCAAAAAAAGTGGTGTTATTAGCCATCAAACCTCAAAAATACACTTTTCCCAAAAGGTTTCCACAATTTTGGCCACTCCTGTATACCACATTGTCAGTGTCACAATATTTTTTACGTCAAAATGACAATGTCTGGCATGGAGCAAGAGTTAATAATAATAGCGTGCAGATTCTGCGCAGATTTATTGATTAGACAAACTTCCAAAGCTTCTATAGGTAGTCCTTGACTTACAAGAGTTTATTTCGGGACTGTTCAAAGTTACAACGGCACTTTAAAAAAATGACTTATGACCTGTTTTCACACTTAACAACCGTTGCAGCATGCCCACGGTCACGTGATCAGAATTCCTCTTTATGACCATCGCAGTGTCCCAGGCTCATGTGATCATATTTTGAGACCTTCTGACCATGATGATATGGTCAAAATTCAGATGCTTGGCAACGGGTTCACATTTATGATGGTCGCAGCGTCTTGGGGTCATGTGATCCCCTTTTGCGACCGTCAGACAAGCAAAGTCAAGGGAGAAAGCCAAATTCACTTTACAACCGTGTTAGCAACTTAACAACTGCATTGATTCCCTTAGCAACTGTGGGTCATAAAAGGTCATAAACTGGGGCAAAACTCACTTAACAACTGTCTCAGTTGTGGTCATAACTTGAGGACTACCTGGATAAGATCTCCCTCATAGTCTTCCAAATAACTCCTAGACAAGGTTAGGTTGTGATTATACCTTTGTTCTAGAAAAATATTTGTTCAAGAACATCAAAAAGCTTTACAGGGCCAATGTGAATTAGATATGATGTCTTCTTATTCTTAATTCTATTAATCATTGTGTTCATGTTACTTGCCTGCTTCCATACCTTGGCAGTAGAAATGTTAAAGAATTTTGTTTGGTGCACACAGGGAAAAAAGAAGAATGACAGCTGATAGAGAAGTGGTAACTTGATTTTGTAATTTCACAGTTCTCCTAACCTGCCAATCAGTTAGAAAACGCAGCCTTTTTCTGCTTAAGTAAAGAATATTCAATTTTGTCCATTTGTGTGGCGTGAAACTGTTTATATGTTGTAGTGACTGCACCAAACAAAATTCTTTAACATTTCTACTGCCAAGGTACGGAAGCAGGCAAGTAACATTAACACAATGATTCATAGAATTAAGAATAAGAAGACATCGTATCTAATTCACATTGACCCTATAAAGCTTTTTGGTGTTCTCGAAGAAATGTTTTTCTAGAACAAAGGTGTGCATGTATGTAGATCCTGATTCCTGACCCATTTCCCAATATAATCTGGAACCGTTAGAGCTAAACATTTGTCTTACCTTACTGAAATGAGTATACAATGGTTTTTTTTTAAACTGAGGGGAGATGACCAATATTCCCAAATGGATCACGATAGCTATGCATCCTTATGGTTGTGTGGATCACATCATTTGTCGTTACACACAGGACATAAACTACAGTGGGATTTGGTCTGTTGAGATTCAGAAAGCACTATAGTACTAAAAGATTCTACAGTACTAGTTTTATCTTTTCGTTTAATCGGTTACCCTTCCATGTCTATTCTTCTTTATCCATCAAGGTGACCTCTTAATAAATCCAGATCAACCCAGGTCTACTGTTCCAATCGCTCAAATTGCTCCCGATTTGATTTTGGCGGATTTACCCAGAAACATCATGTTGAACAACGATGAACTGGAATTCCACCAAGCTCCAGAGAACCTTCTTGGTAAAGACAGTTGTGGCATTGCTTCCTGCAGCTAAGAAAGACGAACATTTGTAGGAAAGATGAATGAATGAATTGCAACACAAACTCCTGAGGCCAAAAGCTACATATAAATTAAATTAGGCATCTTAACGTAACAGTTGTTTATTAATAAAGTGGGGGAAGATTTCTGAATGCGGCATCAGACCCTGGTAATGATATTCCTTAATTTGTAATCAAATCTTAAAAATAGCAATATTTTGCTATTTTTGACTCGGCCTTCCATCCTTCCGAGGTCAGTAAAATGAGGAGCCAGATTGCCGGGGGGAGGATAGGCCGACTCTGTAAACCGCTTAGAGAGGGTAGTAAAGCACTGTGAAGCGGTATACAAGTCTAAGTCCTATTGCTATTGTTATTTAACCTGTGATAGCGCAGTGGTGAGAATGGAGTATTGCAGGCAAACTCTGCCCACCACCTGGAGTTCGATCCTGATGGGGCTCAAGGTTGACTCAGCCTTCCGTCCTTCCAAGATCGGTAAAAGGAGGACCCAGATTGTTGGGGGAAAGCTGCTGACT